ACATTCTATCGATTTATTTCAGTATCGCGAATATACAAGTTGTTATTAGAAAAATAATTTTATTAAAAGATGTATTCCTCTTCTGTTTGTAAAAAGTTTTTATGATTCTTCATATTTCCTATACAATTTAATTTTATCATCATCAAATTGAATAATTTATAATTTCGTGACAAATAAATGTTACCTGTGACATAAATTTATGTGAAACAATTTTCACATTCGAAATTTCAAATTATTAAACAATCTCTGATTCAATGTAAAACATATTAAGATTAATTAACGAAGCTAAAAAATATAATATTTAAGTCAAATTTATGAAAAAATTATAAATGGAATGAAATATTTTATCCGCAAGATCTATGACGATTAAATTTTATTTTTGAGTTGAAAAAAGTTTGATTTAAATAGTTTTTTTCAAGGAGCGCTTTTAATGTTCTCTCTATTGTGAAGCAAACTCTTTACTCTGCAAAGCAATATCCAATTTGTTATTTGACAAAAGTTGTATCAAATTTGTAACATTGTTATAAGGAAGATAGAATACGAAATCGTCTCACAAATGTATACACATTTTTCGTAAAAACATTGTGTTTGTTCAACTTTTGAAAAACTGGTTACATTTTTCCTTAATGACTGTTCCCCGGTCTCTCTAGTTTTATTTTCTTCCTTTAGATGTGTACTCGTTTATTCATGCTGCATTTAACGTTTCTATCGTGAACTTGCGAGTAAAACTTGCGAGTAAGCTCGATCCCGTCATTAATAATAGTAAAATATAATTTTACTATTCGAAATCGTTTTATTTCGAATTTATTTTATTCGCGAAACTTTAATGTTTTATTAAATGCGAAAACAGGCATGCATCAAAGTTGCAATGATCGCGTTATCGCCAACTTGTTTTATTAGTTCGATGTTGTCTCTAACTTCCAGACTTATCCGAGCATTACAGGTAAAACTTTTCTCACTTCGACAAATTTACATAGCCTGATTTTGTAGTTTAAATTCAAAATGATGCAAGTCGAGTTCTGTCGATCACTTATCGATGGAGTTAAATTTTCAGTTTTTATTAATTTCATTTAAGAGGAAGCTTCTCTTCAAGCTTTTCCTGTATATCGAAATCTCACATTTTTTGAGCGGCAGTTGATAAGTCAATTATAATACGTGTGATCTGTTATCGAAGTGAGAGAATCTTACGTATATAATTTTTCTTCTATTTCCTTTCTTTCACATATTTCCTTACAAAGAAAAAAAGGAAATCTTAGAGATATATTATATTATATATATTTTAATATTTTATAGATAAAAAATCACATAAAGAATTTTATTCGTGATCTATAATAAACGATCGATAATGAAAGTATTTTCATTTTCTTTTTTTTTTTTTTTGTCAAGTATTTTCATCCTCGATTCGAGAATGTGTGATAAATCTGGGAGAGTAACATTCTGTTTAACGACTTCGAACGTGTTTCGAGGGTTGATCATCGTTTCGTGAAATTATCACGAAAAAAATGAACGAGATTGGCAGATTTTCAGATTTTCAATCGAATTATTTATGATGTGAATTCATGGGAATACACGTACAACAAACAGAAAGCTGATTCAATTTATAACAGACAACATATGTGATCGATTTCTACGTAGAGTAAAAATATTTGTGCAATAAAAAATGAATAATTCGCTTAACAGATCATTATTCGTCTATTCGTTACAAATGAATGGAGGAGAATTTAAAGAACAATTTATTGCTAGTATATTAAATATTTTATGGAATTGAACATAAAATATTTTATATGATATCCGCTGGTAGGATTTTATTCTATGTATTAAATGTAAAAATAAAAAAATTAATTAATGCGAGATAATATCTGACAATATTCTATCAATATTCGAGATTTAGAATAACATTATGTAAATTTGCTCCTATTAAATTAAATTACCTTGTTTTTTTCGATAATATTTTGCAATTATAAGAGATTTCTCTTTTTTATATGATAATAGTTTGAAAAAAATATTATAATATATGTAAAATTTAACATTTAAAATTTCACGATCACGATCGTGTTATTTCTATTAGTCAAATCGTAATGACTTGCTTCTATCCGATATTAATTACGATAATTTTATTCTCTACTTGCTCTACCACAATTCTCTTTCTCTATTTATCCTGACTTTGATCATTTTATATTCATCATTTATAATATCGTACGATCAATTTATAAATGGAAATATCATTTTATTAATATCATTTCGTTCTATTTTTCCTTTTTTATTTTTTCTAGAAGAAAAAGATATCTAAAACGCAATAGTGTCGTTTAATCTCAAACTAGTATATTTTCAAGTATAAAAAGATTCTCGCAAATTGTTTTATTTTGATAAACGAATTGGGGCGTATGATTGAATCTCGTCTAAAGTCGAACGATAACTGATACAGTACAATGAAAATTTTTCTACTGAAAAAAAAGAAAGAAAGATCTTCAATATAGATTATTTATTTTTAGAAATAGATCCATATATAGATCTTCTTCTTAAAATTCGACATTAACAACGTTAACAATATAAAAATTGAAATATAATCGCAACGTGACATATCTTAAACCTTAAAACTAAAGAAGATTACGAAAATGAATTGAATTCGTGTTGAGACCAAATAAGTTACATTACGATTTAAGAAAAGAGGTAATCATCGTTTAAAAAGAAATTGTTAAATTGTTAAATCTTTAAGAAGAACGCGAAACTATGTCGCGTTAAACAGAATTGTTCCCTGAAATAATTTAATTTTCTTTTCAGGTGAAACATCCAACTACTTCACGCAGATGAGAGCGTGTTTGATTACATCCAGCAATTAGCATTCCCAGAAGTTGATAATCCACTTTTGTGAAACCGCATGGCACAAATATAGGATAAACCAATACTCTCACGATTTATATTCAATTGTTTCAACACCTGAATTCAAATATTACGTGTACCAAGACTGATTTATTTATTTATCGACGCGGCAATTGTTTAACATTTATTATAATTAATATCCTTTTATTTAAAATTATTTCGAACAACGAAATATCATTTTGTTGTGTATACAGAGATTAAACAGAGAATCGCGATCGATGTTTAATACGATATTTCGTCCACGACGATATTTCGAACACGTGTGTCAAAATCCGTAAGAACTTTGCTCTGCAATAAGTAAACTTTTACATTTGATCACGCGTATGTATAATCTTCGTGTGTACGTTACAATTATAACGCGTGTGTAATTAAGCGTACGTGAAAGTGCGGTTCCACCCAATGTATTCAGTTTCTGCTTAATGAATAGTTGGTACACGTATACACAGTACCAATTAGTAACGCGCAATGTTACATTTAATAACAACCACACCTGATCAAATTGTTACTTATTTAGGTGTAAACAAACTGAATTTGATTCATTTTCTCCGCTAATCTAATTGGATTTTCGATTATGCTCTCTCTTTCGTCCGATAGAATTTCGAGCTCGGTAACAATTATCCGTCGATCAATTTCAACGAATCGGAACGAATTAAATTTGACATACTAAGCTTGACGTCATTTCTTGAATAATCTTTTTTTCAAGAAATGAACGAGGTCACTTTTCCGACATTCCGACCTTAATTACCAGGGACGGGTAATCAACTCATTCCAAATTTGAATTTCGAAAGAGGAGAGTGGACAAAGTGGACGATATTAAACTTACTTGCTCGCAAAAAACTCGAAAATTAGCGGGAACTGTAACGAGGCAGTGCCCTCGTAATGAAACACGCCCTATAAAATTGATTAACCGTAGTAATTAACGAGTGGAAACTTGACTCCCTCGAAATTTATTATTGGCAAATATTTATTAACTTGGAACGATTGCTTAACATTTACGAATGAAAATATTTCGAGAGTTTGTTAAATACGGAATGAATAATAAAAGTGTGCCGAAAATGGTGATTTCGTCCGTAAAAAAGTTTTTTACGGCCCAATAAAACAGAGAGATTTCGATCTCGAGGGTGTCGTCGGGATTATTTTAAGTCGTGGAACTGGTAGATTTATGTAATTTGATACAGGAGGCTCGTAAATGGTGAAACTTAATACAATGTAGATCTCATAAATTCGCGAAAATTGATAGAAATAAATCTTAAATGTTAAATCGAGTCGAGGAGAGAAAAATTGCGAATTTTATAATTTCACAAGAAAATCGTAGACAATCGTTTTGCAATCTCGATTCGTGATGAAACATAATTAAATAAACGTACTTATTTTAGTACGATAATAAAAAAAAAAGAAATGTAGAATCGCAACGTTGAAATAGGAAAATTCAACGTATTGAAAACCGATAATATTTCGTTTACAATATTTCCACTCATCCTAGTTTTGTCTTCTCTTTTCCTTCCTTTTGTCGCAATTTAACTCGCGCACATTTCCTGAATGTTGTCAAAAAAATTGTTCCCCGCGATAAAGTAAATTAATCGTAAATTATTGCCAATCTAAAATTTTTATCCTTTTCAGGTACAAAATTTGCCAAAATTTATTCTCCTCGAAACGCAATTTAAAAAGAAATCGCAGCCCCTTTTATTTCGTCAAATCATTTCAACCATTTCTCCATAAAATTGCTCGAGTAATTGAAGTTAAAGTTCATCAATCACGAAGTGATTTTGACAAAACTGGAAAGCAGAATTATTATCCCGATATTTTTATCAAACGTTTTGCTTACGATTCACGGGAAGCGCTTAATTATTTCCAGCCGAAAATGAAACGCGGCTTCAAAGGCGGCATTAAATTAATTGATCCCAATTTACTGTAACAAAGAAACGTGAAATTATATATGGCCCTGATTCTACAACGAATTGAATCTCGTATTGAAAAGGGAACGCCATTGAATTCGATGAAACGAAGTAATCGGATCTTTGGCAAACGGTATCAGACCGATCCAAAACGGTGGATCGAGTGCAATTCGAAATTCGTGGCCGTTTCCAATAAAGCGAATCCGGAATTCACCTAATACTCACCTAATAGCGATGTACCTCCAAACGGCGAGGGTGAGCGTGATGGCGATGCTGATGGTGTGGAGCAATTGAGTGAAATGCATGTGGAAGAGGACGAACACCGCCCACCCGTAAGGAAATATCTGCCTCTTTGGGAGCACGATGTACATGTAAATAGCGAACGGTATGTATTCCAGCATGACGAGCATATCGGCGGTCGCGAGGCCGGTGAGAATTCGGTTTATGGGAGTTGCGACCATGTCTTTCCTCGTCAACACGACGATGTTCAGCATGTTGGCCAGGGTGCCGAACAGGCACACCATCAACGCCACGTAGCCGTGGTAATTCTTGTACTCGATCGCAAGATCCCGAACGGTCCCGTTGCAGTAGCAACCAATCTGTTGCTCGCAGTTGTCGTTGCACGAAATCGACAGATTATCCATGAACTTGTTCACGTAGTCTATATCCTCGTCCGTGATGTTCAAGCTGGTCCAGAAGCTCGAACGATTCATGGTTGCTATACGACGAATCAGATGGCTCAGGTGGAGAAGGGTTGCGTTCAAGTGGCGACTGTCCTCGTAATGTACGTGGCGAGGCATCGCATTTCGAGGGATGGCTGCATCCTTGCTTCTTCCTTTCGATATCTTTCTTTCTCTATTTCTCTTCTATCCACTCCACTTCTTCCTCCTCGAGGCAAGTATGCGAATCATTGACATGTTGGTCACAGTTTACTTGCACATACATTTCGAATCCTATGTTGAAATATCACAAAATTTGCAAGTTTTGGCATCAGAAACGCGATTCCCCATCAATTCGAATCGAAAAGCATCAGATAATGTTGTTCTTGCATGAAATCTTGCAAAGTGGTCGAAGTGGAGGGTAAATTGATACTTGTCGCTTTCGCGTGTCTTTTTATTATTTAAAAAAAAAAAAACCACATCTGGCACTGGTGGAGGAAGGGAGGAGAGGGATCGTTTAACAAACGATCATCGGCCCTTAAGTACCCTTCGAATCATCTCACTTTACGATGGATGGAACGTATATACGGCATCGAGCGATTGCTAACTGCGCTGTTCTCGATGCTAGCCTCGACGAGCAGGTAAAAAATTCTCTGCCACCCTCGCGATTCCACGGTACACTTTTATTATCCTCGTTAAGGGTGTGTCGTTTCGCGATTACGATGTTTTCGTGACGAATCACTCCGTTCAGGCATCGTTCATATTCATCGTACCCAGCACGCGACAACTTTACACGGAAACGTATCCAATTTACGATCCTCATCGAAGATGAGGGCATTCAGACGGGGATGCGAGTCACGTCGTCCAAGCTTCGGTCTCTATCATCTTTTTCCCTATCATTATATATCTCGCTGAATTTCTCGTTTCTCATGCTGTTTCGCATTCCATTCGGGCCAAATCGACTACTCGAAACTTTTTTCCGCCACGTTCAATGGCGATGAAATGCAAGTTATTTCAAGATCGTTTGCCACGTTTTTTCCCCCTTCCGTTTAATCCCTCGACCTACATTCCTCCGTTAAATTCCGGAGAGCCATTACCGTCTTACAAAATCTTGTGTAATTCGTAACTAATGTTCCCAACGCTTCTCTGTGATCGAGAAACTCTTCCTTCTCGAGGCAATTCCTTCCATGGTAATCTATATATATATATATATATATTTCCATTCGTATATATCAATTCAAGATCACCCCCTGCCACTTCGTTTTCCAGATTCGTTTCACGCACAGACCACTCCAACCGATTCATCGACCATTTACTTCCATTTCAACATACACTTCAAACATTGTTCTGCAAGATCACTTTCAACCCTCCTCCAGATATGACCCTCTCTCTTAAAAAGTTCCACGAGGGATTTACTTTTTATCCTCTTATCCTGGCTACGATTCGAGAAGGTCATTCCTTGTCTTCTTGCTCGATTTTCCCCTCACCCCCCTCCCTTCCCTCCCCCCAAAATATATATATATATATATATTTTACAATCTTGGAATCTTCACGCTCCGTGGCTGTCTTTTTTTTTTTTTTTTTTCTTACTAACCCGTGCTACCATTTACGATTTCAATGGCCGTCCTTCCACACCCAGGGATAATCCCACGGGACACGATCCATGGATCTTGACGGATTGAAGCGCTTATACGGAGCGACGTTTCGGGTATCGATTCCATCTATGGACGTGTCTCTTCCTCGCGCGATCTCTTCCACATCATCTTCTCTGTACCTTATGGATTGAGGTATCCTTATAGAATTTATAGACCGAGCAGAGATGTAAGTACCGATTTCTCCAAAATTCCTCCCGCTTGCGCTCCCCTACACGAGAATGGACCTGGAAAAGATTGTTTGCGTTCGATCAATCGATGAATTCGATGAACGATTTAACGAGATGGTTGATAATAGATGGTAATGTACGGTGATAGAGTAGTTTTCATTAATGGTGTCGTCGATAAGTTATTCGTGATATTAATTAAATTGATCGAGGATTTGACGGGAAAAGCGATCTTTTATAAAAAATGAACGAGGATACTGAGAATCGTGTGACGAATTTGTGCAAGTGTTTCGTTTGAAGTGTTGAATTTTAATAATTCGTTTAATTTATTTATTTATTGGATTTTTTTAGAGCAGAAGATCCGGCCAGATATAAATCAACTTTGAATTTTAAAATAATTTGGTTTTAAGTTTGATCGAAAAACTGATGGTGTAACGGTAGAGAAGGTAGAGAAGAGAGTTCAAGTTATATTTTCGTAACGAAATATAAGCGGGAAACAGAGTGGAAACGATAATGCACATCTTGCATTAATAATATTTTCCAAGCACGAGTTTATTTTATTAAGTAGCAACAACAATGATATCTTTGTATCTCTTCATTTTTTATCCGTTCCTTCTCTAAATGTTGTGATAAATTTGCAGATGATAAAAGCTTATGAAGAGATTCATACATAAACAGGTTATATGCAACGCGCGGAAAATTTCTGTGTCGCGTTAAAAGTGCAACGTATTTCATCGATAAAATTGGAAAATATACACGAGAGTTAAAAAGGTGGAGATACATAATGTTACATATGGGATTAATTAACGTCGAATTTATTTAATTAATATCCTTAAAAGATTTCAAAATATTACAGCATATAAATAATAAACTGGAATAAAATTGGAAGGAATCGGATGAAACTTTTCATGATTGAAAAAAACTTTTGAAATTGGAAAAGTAATCCAAGTTCAAAACGATGAATTTAATCAGAAGGAAAGAGTTTTACAAGCAAATAAAGAAAAAAAAAAGATGTAATGATGAATTTTTCATGATAAAAGTTAAAATGTCACTAGATTTAATCCATTTTTTTTTATTTTATTCCCTTAAAAATTAAAATTATTTATGAATAATCTCCTAAAAAAAGAATATTCAGTTTTTAAGCTCTTAAACGAAGAAAATACAAAAATAGGATAAATTTATTTGTTCTTAATTAAATTACCCATAAAATAATATATTCGATAAGTCTTTTATTCCATGATATTTATTTTATCTTATGAAATTTCGTTTATACTTCAAATTTACATATATTTCTGCATTGTATTTAAAATATATTATATATATTAGATTATTAATTTAAAATGAAAATTAATTCCATATCAAATAAATTTACTTTTCGTATTATATATTTTTAAAATAAATTTAATAAATTCATCTAATGAAATGAAATTCATCTAAAAAAAAAGAAAAGATTATTATTATTTATTTTTGCCTCAAATAATTAAAATGTAAACGTATTAACTTGCTTTTGCAAACTTTCGACGCATATACAACATTCATTTTATTAATTCTCTATGCAAGCTTCCTCAGTCTTCAATAGATTACCTCTTCATTGCTTCGTAACTTAATTGATTCTTGATTAACTCTTCTAACAAGATCTTTAGCATGTTCTCTGACATTATGTTAATATGTATTCCTTAATGTAACTCTATAATGATATCAATTTTATTAACATTGCAGCAATAAATTGAAAATTCACGAATTTGTTACTTGTAAAATGTAAAGCAGAATTGATATTCAATATTCATAATGTTATAAACGAAAATTATTTAGGTATAATAAGGTTTGAAAAAATTTATAATAATATTTTCAACTTATCATAAAAGTATTTGAAATTTATATTGTTATTATTATACGTAGATATTATACGTATTTTATATATTTCTGAATAATATAAATTCATATCATATGCACAATATATGTACAATAAATAAAAATGAATTCATTCACTTTTAAATTGATAGAAATTAAAAATCTCGATTGCATAGTGATTACACGTATAGTAATAGTATACATCATGTTTTCCTTCTCTATTTTATATAAGGTATGCTAAAAATGGGAACACCTTTCAGCTAAAGATTCTTGAGATAATTTCAAGCAACATTTTCCTTTATAGAAATTTTCGCTACGGTTTTGTTAACAAGTTATTAACAAAAAACAACTCGAATTCATTCATCATTCAAGATAAGTAACAACAATTATAGTATAAAAAGAAAAAATATAAAATATTCCTAACGAACGATAAATAGTACATATTTGGAGAAGAGGAAGAAGAGAGTAATGATAAAGACGATGGAAAGGAAAAATAAAAGAGAATACAATAAAAGAGAAAGAGGAATTGATAAAGAAGGAAAAAAGAAAGGGATGATAAAAAGAAAGGGTAATTTTAATAAAATATAATTCGATATAATTTGATAAAAAAATATTTGTTGTATATTTTTAACAGATTTTCTTCAACATGTTTGGATCTATTTGTATTTTCAGCGATACGTAACTCTAACGAACAACACTTCCATCATTGCTTGATTAGTCTATACATTTCTTGATTGACCAGTGTTTATTAATAACTCTCGTTTAATAAAGCCGTACGTAACGAAAGTTTTTTATAAAGTAAAATATTGCTTGAAATTATCTCAGAAATTTTCAATTAACTAGTGTTCTTATATTTTTAGGTTATATTGTATAGTGCCATCATTCGTTTTAAATTTTTAAAAGTATAAAGTATTTTTATACTTCTTTATCTTTTTTATTGATTTTTGTGCATTTTTAATATCCATAAAACGGTAACGGATTTAATAGTCTTTATGCTGAATACCGGATCTTATGAAATTATTCTACAAATGGTGAGTAATATATTTTTGGCACTGTGTAATATTGTATATATTTTAAACTTAACACAATGGTTTATTTTTTAATTTATTAGTAAATTAGATTTTTCTGGGATAAACTTAAAAAAAAAATGTTAAATTTATGCCAAAAAAAGTTATACAATATTCTTTTTACTATTAATTTCGAAAGAATCCTTCCTCTTTTAATATTTAAATTTCAATTCATTTAATTAAAATGTAATATCATATAAGATATACATTTATATAGGGAAAATTTTTATGAATGGATTATAAAATCAATGCAACAGGGTTAATCGATATTTAATCCTTTCGTATAATTATTTCGACTTCGGAATCCAATGTTATTATTTTAATTTTATTATTTCCCTTCTTCTCTTTTGTTTAATTCAATTTTCTATTCGGAGAAATTCAATCGCGATAGAGTTTTCCACCAACTGTTTCTCTAATAACATTACAATTAGACAAATTTAATTTTCGATCCACACGAATAAAATGTAGATATGTATGAATGAAATAAATTATTAATAAATTATT